AGGACGGAAATTAGATCAAAAACCCTATGTGAAATCTATGAACATAAACAGTATTTTTGATTTGAAATATACAATACAGAAATGCAGAACGGCGTGGTGGTCACTACCCGAGTCTTGTCACTATTATCAAGTCATAAAATGTAACAAGGACTAAAATGTGATCCTTTGATTACTGGAAAATCCTGATTCCCTAGATTGCCAGTAACACATTACAAAAAGGTGATCTCCCAACGTTACCGGTTTGAAAAGATAAAAATTTACAAAATGGAACGAACTCACCAAGTTTAGCCAATTGAACCTGAAGGCTGCCTGACATGTGTTGATGTAGAAGTTCAAATTATAGACTAAGCTTGACGAAGATCAAAATGAGCTAGTTCGGTTTATGGTAGTTGCGCGGAATGTCTTCCTTCGATTTGAGATAAACAAATCTAGATTGAGCTGGAATTAGGGCGTAACAGCCTATGTAAACAATGAGTTCTCTCGTTGATTTCTCGAAATTCAAGGCACGCCTACACAAACCAACATATCCATCGGGTAGGGAAAGTCTTCCCCTACTCGATGGTGATGTCGATTTGCCAGTGAGAGCCATGGCTTTCGAGAAATTACCGAGAGAAAGCATTGTTTACAAAAGCTGTTAGGCCCTAATTCCAGCTCTATCTAGAAATGTTCGGATGTATGGAGTCGTTTTTTGATGTGCATTGGTAAGTTTTTTCGTGGCCAATAGTCAGGTTCAACGCTGCGACTCAACGAATTATGGAACTAATGATGGGACGAATGTTGGGACGCCTCGTGGATGTTCTACTTGGCTTCGGAACAGCTTCTCAGCGGCAAATAATAGGGACCTAGAATAAGGAACTAGAGATTGTCTCCTGGGCCTGGTTATGGCCAGATCAGCAACCGATTATAGATATAAAAAAAACTCCACGGAAAAAACAAACGTCGGGATCGGGCTACTCTCCTAAGGGAGTAAGTGTGCTTTCTCAACGTTTTCGAGATTTTTGGAGCTGACCACGTCGGGCATACGATAAATATTTGAAAAATAAATGTTCTACTCTCGTCTTCCATCGGACATAAACGTGATGAAACATTCAGCAAATCAAAAGGAGCACACGAACGTAAAAAGTAACTCACAGGCGGAGTCAAGTTTACTTACATAGGGAGACGAACCAGCCCAGGGCTAAAAGTCTCCTTAATAAAGATATAAAAAAAACTTACTTTCTATTTTTGCCAAACATAATTTGACATTCCCTTTTGATGAAAGTGAGTAAAATTGTTGTGGAAAAAATAGAGAGTGAGTAAACATGACTCGTTTACTTTTTACGTCCACGCACTTTCAAAACAAACTGCAGTCAAAACATTCTAGAACCAATCACTAGGGGCTCTGCTATACAATAAATTCAGCGTGCGAATTGGATTGGACCAAGCTTTATGGGGCTATAGGGGCTATAGGAGCCTCATAGCCTAGTCAGTAAAGGCACGGTATTACCAAGCCGGAGGTGGCGGGTTCGATTCTCGGTCCGGTCGAGGGAATCTTTCGGGTTGGAAATTTTCTCGACTTCCCTGGACATAGAGTATCATTGTGCTTGCCACACAATATACAAATTCATGCATTGGTATTGGCATCGAAAGTTCTCAATTAATAACTGTGGAAGTGCATTTAGAACACTAAGTTGAGAGCACGCAATAAGCTAATATACAGTAAGCAAAAAGCTTGAAATGCGAATAAGAAGAAGAAGAAGCTTTATGGGCTTAACGATCCCATAAAATTGCGATGTGTCGGGAGATCCACAAAGTATTTAAGATCATGAATAAATTGTTACAACAGCGGCTCGTTTCCATTGATTGTCAAGCATCTTCAGATAATCCAGTCCAACCTGTACTATTATTCTCCTCAGTAAGTTCGATCGAACTCTAGCTCTATCTGTTTATCTTTTCATGCAACCACACCTGTAAATAAACTAATATCACATTATCTACAGTGGAGAGCAGAGAAAATTTATCAATCAATATGAAACAGTTGAGGAGTAGTTTTTTAACTATCGGACAGGTGCGGGCTGAAGGGTCTCAGAATGTTTTGAAATTATACCCACAGGTAGAGTTTAAGATTGTCTGCATGTTAAATTTAAAAACAAAAAACCGGTTTTGGGTAATTTTCCCGGCAAATTTTAGATGAAGTTGTAGGATTTACTCGGACATCATGAATTTAGGAAATGCATAACTCATGAATCAAGCATCGTAGAAAGACATTTTTGTATTGAAATGATATGAAAATTATCTCTGCAATCTATAAAAAATATAATCTTTTTTCCACCAAAAATATTCACGGTTGAGAAAAATCGCAAGGAAAAAACACAGACAAGCACACATAACACTTGCAAGTTATTCATCGAACAAGCATTTAAAGATCAATTTAAAAGTATCTTAGTTGGTAGTACCGCCACCTGTGGCACGCATGGTTGATTCTCTTGCATTTGACGTTTACACACTACCGCCATCTGTTCAGTGGACTACCCACTACATTGTACTCAACAGATGACGGTAATGTTTTAGCGACGATGTTTCACAATGAGAAATATTCAATGTGTTATATCTGTTTTTCTGTGGAAAAACCATGGTCAGGGTGATGCATTTTTTTTCTAATGACTTATCTTAATCTTAACTTTTACTGGTGATTATTTCAGAGTGGTGCTTCTTACTGCTTTGAGTTATTATCAAAATACTAGCGGCCTTGACAATTATGGTTCAACTTCTCTGATTTTTTTTCCAAAATTCAATTACTTTGAAAATCCATAATTCATGAACCAAGTTTCGTTGAAAAAAACTATTTTATTTAAATGATAAGAAAATTATTTCAGAAATCCATAAGAAATATAAACTGAAAAATGTTTTCATGACAATTTTTACGATGAAGGAAAATCACAAAGAAAAACAGAAAACCATTTTCGAAGTATTCAAAGTGTTTTTTATGTTACTTCATACGCGAAGTATTATTTTTTTTTAATGACTTCTGTTGCTTTAAAATTTCTTATCTTTAACTGGAGAAAATTTCAGAGTGGTATCTCTTACCGTTTATGAAAAATTTACCGAAAATTATAAAACAAACAACAAAACGATAATTGGCGACAACGCTCTGATGAGGCAAAAAACCCAATCCCCAAGCTTCTTCCCTGATCCTATCCCTCGACAATGTACCCCTCTATCCTCGCGTAAGCCACAAGTATTCGGTCCAATTCCTACTAAGAAGACCTAGAATTAGGTAAATTCTGTTACGTGACAATTAAGCGTCGGCTCCGTAAAGCTAACGCGATTGAGCCTATAAAATAAACGAACTAGATGAATAAAAACGAAAACGATAATTTTCATAGCTTTCCTATGACCGGTCATTAGTTTTTCGGTCGTATCTCAAAAACGGTAAGAGACATCACTCAGAAATGTTAACCAGTTACAGATAAAAAGTGTTCAAGCACGAAAAAGCATAAGAAACATGTTTCATTACTCTGACAGTGAAAATTTCTTGAAAAACATTTTTCTAGTTATATTTTTTATGAATTGCTGAGATGATTTCCATATCACAATAATCTTTAATCTATGCTCGGTTAATAAATTATGGATTTTTAAAGCACACATCACGTCTAAGAAGATTAACCACCTCGGTTTTTTGATTTTTTCCGTTAATTGAAACATAAATTCTACATGTGGACAACATTTTAAGAAAATTCAGAGACCCTTCGACTCAATTTGCCTGATAGTAAAAAAATTATCCTAAGTTGGCAAATGAATAAACTTAAAAAAAATATAACGGTCAACCACAAAAGCCACAGATCACCGACACCTGGGATGCAAACAAATGCACACACTCACACACTTCCACCAAGGGTTCTACCACATTTAATTATTCCGCAGAATAATAATGCTATCCAACAGGCAATCGGCCCGGGCGAAGAGAATGTTGCATACAGTTTTCCGTTTTAATTATGTTCGATTTATTGTTTTAAAACGTAATCAAGAACTGCAATGTCGGTGAGGTAAAGCGGTTGACCACACTGCCAACCCTTCATTTTACAGTATAGGAACAATTTAACACACAGTGTGAGATGTAATAAATACAATAATGTAGTTTTGGCTGAGGTATCGGTTCGTCGAGTAGAGTAATGAGTTTTTGCTCTTCCATCGTCGCAATGTCGACCCTTCTCCTATGTGTGAGATTATGATGAATTTCTCTGCTTTCAGTGAGTAAATTTTAATGGGTTACATGAATATTTAAGTTTTCAAGCTGTCAGAACAAGACTTCAACATTTTTGATCAAAGGATCATTATTATAGCAACATATGCAATTACAGAAATAAACACAGTACAGTAGGACACCAATAGTTCGTCCTCTTGATTCCAATTTCGCACAACACCAACGTTCCTGTTTATTTCTGAGGTGCAAGAAATTTGAATCGCGTGGATAAATTGTTGACATTTTTACGCTACACTTCAACAAAAGCCTACAGATTCTAAATTCAGGTGAAATGTACTCCAAACATCAACACTAACAGGTTTGTCGTAAGCTGGTAAGATGAAACATTTTAATTGGACGTTGAATGACACGAATAAAACTGAAGAACTTTTCAATTTTTACCCCCACACACACACACAAACACACATACACATAACATTCACATTAGGCTGAACATCATCCATCGAGACACTCAAGTCGTTTCATAGTTGTCGTTTCTCTCGTAGTATTGAGGTTATGTTCGATCAATTTCTCAAATATATATATTTTTATAATAGAAAGCATGAATATTTGTATCAGCTAGCGATTTACTCTATGATCTGCATGCTCAATCTTAGACATGTGCTAAGTTATATGAATTATCTTTCCTGCGATAGAGTAAAGCATTGCCGCGGCTCAGCAGAACATTGCAAAACGTCATATTCCTGACAGTTTGATTGATTTTCGATTGCTAATGATGATTTTTATCTATCTCCCTCCCTCCCTTGCGGAACTGCAGCTGCATCCGAGCGTTGTGCCGAAAACGCAAGAAATACTCAAATGCGAACTGCTACCTGTGCGCCCCATCACCATCATCAGCAAGTACCTGTCTGCCAGAACACAGGGCCTTGACTGAAGACCACCGCCTTGACCCCTAGCTCGTTTGCCAACTCCCAGTACGTCAGCATCGAGCATGACGACGAAGAGGAGGAAACAGCCGCCGACGACGGTAGAACATCCGTATCATCGAAGCATCATCTCCATCAGCAATGCAGCGGCAGTAGCCGCAACACGACTCCGGGCGCGGCCCGGAAGTGCGACAGCTTGAGCAGAAGCCGAACCAGTCTGCGCAGTGAAACTGCCAGCAGTTCGGGTCACAGCCATCATCACCATCACCACCGTCACCGTCGTCAAACGAGCAGCGCTAGCAGCACCAGCTGCCACGCCAGGCAAACGAGAACTGATGATGAGGAAACTCCGGAAGAGGAAGCCGCTGGTACCACGGCCACCTGCACCGAAGACGAACGCCATCCGGAAAGTGCTTCGACGCTGTACGTCGAAAACTGCCACTGTTCAATCGGGGGTAATCTGACCACTACGGACGATGACGAAGAGATCCAGCAGTTCTTCGTCGTGAACAAAAGTGTATCCCGTAGACCGTCGAACGTGAGCAGTACGTCACGCGTCAGCCACCGAAGCAACCGAAGCACTCCAAGAAGTGGCGGAAGTCGTTCGAAGCGGGCCACTCCACTCAGTGGTGGCAGCTGCTGCTCTCACCATTCTCATCATTCACAGCAGACTTATCGGGGTCGAGGAGGTCACGAATCACCATCTTTTCTACAAGACAGCGGTTCGAACGCTACCATTTCGAACTTTAACATCAATCCATCTCGGTTCCAGTGCAGTTACTACACGACTGCCGACGAAAGCGAGAACTCCTACTGTTCCATTAGCGGCGAAAACATCCGTCAGATACAGGCCCAAACGCAGATACAAACGGCGTTGGAGATGAAGCAGAAAGAGGACGAGAAGCGACACATTCTGGGACCAAAGTCCCGACTACAACCACTACCGCTGCCGCCGCTACAGCCAGCCGATGGTAGCGACTACAACGACAGTCAGCAGGACGCTACTAGCACCAACGAGTCTATCCTGTCGATCATCGAGAGTACGTCCAGCGATCAACCGGGCGATTCGACGACGACCAGCACCACCACTTCCACTACGCAGCGACAGCTGCAGCAAGTCGGCGAACGGGGTGCAAAAAACGGCAATTCGGGCAGTCAGATGATCCTTACACCGTCCAAAATAACGATTGAAAATATTGGCCAACTGTCCGAGATTGCGGCCAACGATTACGAGTTCGACGACATTGACGTCAACATTCCGGAGGTATTTCCTTCGCCATCGAAGATCAAGTGGCATTTTCTCGCCGGACTAGACGAGAACAAGTCGAACAAATCCAGAATCAGCTCAATATCGAGTCTGGTGGATGCGGGAAGCAGTGGCCGTGGAAGAAGCGGTACCGAATCCGGCGGAGCAGACGTAAGCGAAACGGCTAGCGAGAGACGCCGGGACGACAGCAGCGACAATGACTACAGCCCGAACTTAATCCAAGAGCAACCGCTTCCACCAATTCCGGCAGCAGTTCAGAGCAGTTCGTCCAGCTGTAAGATCGAAGAACTGCTGAAGAAGTCATCGCCATCGGCTTCGGCTGAGTTCAAAACCGTCTCGATTTGGCGTGCAGAGAACGATGACGAAGCGAATGCCATCATCTTCCACCACGAGAGTGAGATCGTGGAGAACTGCTGTACGAATCATTTTTTAGACCACAGTAATTACGACATCTGTACGGTGGATAACTGCGATTATCTTATCAAGAGCAGCGATACACCAAAGAGCAGTAGAAAGAGCAGTATGAGCAAAAGCGAAGAGCGGCTGAACAATTCTGTGGCGCTGTCTTGCTCCACCGGAAACAGGCTGGAACTGAAGCAGCGAAATATCTTCACATCCACGCTGTCAACGAGCACTACGCCACCGAACGTCTACAGTATCATATCTCCGGATTTGAAGCGCTTTGAAAAGCAAACGAACCTAACGCGGAACTCGGTCAATCTCAGTCAGAACCTATCGTCGCCTTCGTCGACGTCATCTTCGTCAATTTTTCTGGGCAACTACAATCAAAGCTATCGCAACATCAATCAAAATTCCAGCGAGGATAAGCTGTTGAACACGTCTTCATCCAGATCCCGGTTGAACACCACCCGATCGACGACCAGCATCAACAACGGGAGCAACTTCAACAATACCCTGGACGTCAACGTTGACAATCGGCAGCGATTGGGCAGTTCGGTATCGCTCAACGCTCAACAGCTGGCTCCATTCAGTATAACCGCTTCGTCGGCATCTGCGGCAGCTGCGTCCCAGTTCTACAACAAATCCTACCACATCAATCTAACGGCACAGAATCGCCTCTACTTCCATGCCTACTCGAATCTCGTGCGGGAGCATGAACAGTGTCAGCACCAATCACCCTCGCCGGAACAGTCGGATCAGTCCAATGGGCAACCGCCACCACCTTGTGCCCAGTGTCAGGAGCTGTACGGTTGCCCACAGTACTTAAGTGGCAACGCAACCAATGAGGAAAGCACCGGCGGCACGGGCGCCTTCAACGATGCCACCATGACCAGCAGCAGTGCCAGTCTAACCGGGTCCGGAACTGGTCGGCGTGGTGCACGAACCGGATCGGCCCGCTGGCGGCGGAACGTGAGCCACTCGCTCCGGATCCACGGCCTGGTTCGAGTCGTACGGACCAGGGCTCGCAAGTGCGCCGACTACATCCGCCAGAAGGAGCAACAAACCAACAATCGTTTTCATCGGCGCAAATAGGCGAGGCGAATGAGAAGAAGAATGCAATACGCATGTGTGTGAGTGACTGACTGATCGAAACTAGACGTCAGCGTTGTGTGCGAGACCATTGTTTTCGTTTAGATATAAATGTGTACTGTTTATAGGTTTTTCGTTAACCATTCGTCAAAAACGAATCGCCTCCCAAACAAGGGCGATCAAGTGATGCAAGCTCGTTTGTTTGTTTACTTCGGGTTTGTATGAAAGACTATCAAAACAAACACAGACACACACATACACAAACACATACACATAAACAAGCACACCTACACTCAAAATAACCCGAAGCAAAACAAATCGGTAACCTTAAGCAAAGCCTACATGAATAGAACAAAATAGTTACAGTTAGGATAACATTTGCTATTTGTAGTATATACCTAGCCCTAAGTAAGGAACATGAGAGCACTAGGAAATTAAATTTAGTCTAATCAAATAACCTAATGTTATGGCGCGGATCTCGTTTCCAGACATTCTGCGGAACGGCAACTTAACACTTATAAAAGGCTAACCCCGACACGAACGTCTACCGATGGCGGGTAGAGATCGGGAGTTTTAGCCAGTTCGTCAAAAAAAAGGTATTACACTAAGTAGTCAATAAACTATATAAATTAATTATTATAAACAAAAAAAATACAACACATAAGAGAAGTAATTAATCGAAATTAAGTTTTTTGTACACTTTTTGATATTTTATTTTACAAAAAATACAAGAATACATGAACTAAGTAGCTTTGTCTTTGCACAAATTAATTAAATACTTAGGCGGAAAGCAAGAGTCTGACACGCCGGGTTCGATCCGGCTCTCTTGCTCTCTCACAATATGGAAATATTAAGCAAAAGGTAAAAAAAACATAAATTGAAAAAAAAAAAAAAACAAAATCGTATGTAAAAAGTGATAAAGCGGTTTAAAAGTAGCATATTGTAGTGAATAGATATCTTAAAACAAAGAAAAAATAATGAATTAACGATTTTTTAACAAAACAAAACCCTGTATAGAAGAAAAAAAACTGCAAAATAACGAATACAAAGAACAGAAAATTTTAAAGGCTTACTTACACAGAAAATCCCAACCGGAAAACAAAAAAGCGATACTCTAACCATGTTACAAAGTTCTTTTTAAAAGAAAAAAACGATCACCCATAGACACTCACACACACACACAAATACATACACTGCTGGAGGGAATCGACGACGATCGTCGACACACAGTATTACAAATTCACCAAGCCAGTTGCTAGTTCTTAGATATGCGATCGATCGAACCAGCCTCTACACGAAGCAAGAGGTGCAGAAGGAATTTATATAGGAAAACAAATCGAAACCTACGCAAACAGAAGAAAACAAAACGCGGAGCAGAACTAGGTTTAAAAAAAACAAGAAGCATAAGAAAGCTTCCGGCGAATTTTTTACGGGAAATGCATTTAGAGTGTAACACTGTTGAAGTTTGTTTTGGGACTTGTTTGGAAAGGTTTATTTTGTTTAGAAAATTATGGAAAAGTTTATAAGCTCCTTGGTTCCACGATTTCGGTTGTGATACTAATCTAAGAGTAACAGGAACAGGAATAAAAAGACCGGGCGGCGGATACTCGTTTACGTTTGATAAATTGTGCTCATTGTAGCAAACGGATGGAATTGTTGTTTTATACTAAATTCAAAAACTAAGAATAAGACAGTCGGCCGGTAGTAGGACGTAGCGAAGCAAAATATGAGAAATGGCGATTATTCTAAAGGTGTTCGCGAAAGGTTCTTGTTTTTGTGATTTTGAAAGACGTATCAGTTATTTCATATTAAAATGTCCGAGATATTTTAGTACACTTCAACGGAACATTCAAGGGCTGCATTGTTTACTGGACATCGAGAAGTATCTCAAAGGGAGTTAGGAAGTTCTGTGGACTTTCCTGAGCATATCTTGAATTGTTCCAGAATTTTCTTAGTTTTTTCGAACATCACCCATGATATTCGCTAAATTTGTATGAGGTTTACTGAACGTCTTTTTTTGTTTTCTAAACCATTTTGAGGTTCCTTGAATTTTGTTTAAGTTCTCTCAATACCATTTTCAGACAATCCGTGCAAGAGAAGCACCCCCTATTGGCATGGCTGAAAAGTGCCTCAGAGCATTTGCAGAGCAACTTTGTACATGCATCGCCGAACACTCGACAAAGAGTGTGTGGTTCTCTCATTTGCTTTGCACACTCTTTTCCAACTTATCTTTGAGAAAGCGATCCACATGAGCGGTACACTCCGAGTGGCGCAGGGAGCAAATAGAATATCACAACAAACAATTCCGTATAGAAGAAACGACTTCTTGACGATTTTATTCAACTGAATGCTTAATAATATTTGTATTATTTTGAATAATAGCTTCTGTTCAGACTTCATACAAAGCTGGAGAATTTATTCAACCACAACATTGGACTACTTTGTGTTGTTATACGGTAGGTCGAGAAGCTTTTATTCGACTTATATGAATTGTAGCAGAACTTTTCGATCAAATTTTTGAATATTCAACGTTTATTATTAGACATCATTGCTTCCTTAAACAGCGCTTGATTCTCATGTGAAAGCATCGCTTGATTAGACATTATTATACATTAATTAAACGATTTTTCAACTGCGGTAATATTAACCCAAAAGTAAGAGGGTAGGACAGGGTTGTTTCTTTAGTGATTGATTTCATTATTACTGATGTATGTATTACATACATACCTACATGTCATGTCGTTGCATGGGATTCGAACCATGTACCTTCCGATCACCGGCCGCTTGCCATCTGAGCTATCCTAGAATACATCATATAGGTAGCTCAATAATCAATAAAGGTTTGCTTGAAACGGAATACATATCAGCAACTATGCTCCTTAAAAATCATGTGGGAATGATAAATTCATTCATCGTTGTCCTACATGAGACCAACCCAATAAACAATTTGTGCTGATTAAAGGCTGAATAAGCAATTTTTTGCTGAAGAAGCATATTTTTGCCTGAATAACCTCTTATCCTACTTCCAATGTTTGTTGGGAATGTTACCATTTCACCTCTCCAATTTCCATGGAAAAGATGGTGGATTTTTTTTAACTACATCAATGAACTCGTTGTCATGAGTGATGTGATCAATTAAATTAAATTAAAATAAATTAAATTAAAAAAATTAAATTAAATTGTCAAAAAGGTTATCCGATTAACACTGAGTTCATTGGTGACATCACGCTACATTACCTGATTTGTGACGTCACAAATGAACTCAGTGTTCATCGGATGAACTTTTTGACAGCTCGAGAGCGTGGTTCAAAGGTCTTTATGTAAGTCGGGGATTCATTTGCGTGATTTCAAGACTTATGTTCAAACACTACTCGCTAGACGCACATCTCTACAGAATAAATCTCGTTGACAGCAATGTATGTAGGTGCAGAACCGGTTATGATGACATCGATCACGCAGTTTGGCATTGTCCGGGTAATGACGCCTCCAGAGCACGACTATCGGATACCCTAGTGGCCCGAGGTAGACAACCCTTCCGTGAAGTAAGAGATGTATTGGGAACCCGTGATCTTCCCTACATGCAGGCGATCTACGAATTCCTTTGTTTATCTGATGTTAGAGTTTGATGTGACCACCCCCTCCTTTCCAAACAATTTCCAGCCATTGTGTCCCAGTCTTATTATCCTCCTGTTTCTGTGCTACTTGCCCCTGCCCAGACCGGATTTGGTTAACCATTCGAGAGTAGTATCTGAAGGAGGCTTCGTAAACAGTACCACTGAACTGTCATCCGATTAGGTTAACCCTGGCGGTTCAAAACCTTATATTAACTTTCTTAACATTGTTTACATTCTCTCACTGCCGCTCACAAGTTGACACCTCTTTTCCAGAGCAAATATGGCAATTTAAGCGTGACTTGCACTTTGTTTGTTTACATTTGCTTGATTGAGGCAATATTCTTTAACAACTGGAACCAGTCTTACAATCTTTTTTTAGTATACGAGACTGTTCGAAAACAAGTTGAAACAGTCGAATATGCTTGTACCAGTTCCCCACAGATGCGTTTATTTTGAGATATTAGCATTCTTGAGTTGAGGATGTTTACTACTTTCACAGCAAAAAAATAATTTTGATATCACGTCAAAGTGGATGCACTACAATCATGTCGAAAATATGGTGTAATATTACTTGCTAAAAAGGACAAAATTATCATTAATACAATGCATGAACTGACATTACGCTGCTTTTACTGCATTTGTTTATTTATGTGGTCATAAAAATTACATGAAATTTTCGACATGATTGTAGTGCATCCACTTTGATGTGATATCAAAATTATTTTTTTGCTGTGTTTAATGTATGTTAATGTTGTTAATTGTATTCTTTTATTTGCAAGTTTAAAATCTGTTTCGGATGTGAAATACAATTGTTATATTGCTTATTCAATATATATTTTGAACATTGATCACAATGGTTTATTTTTCAAACGATTCGAGGCTTACGTCTCTTAAACGGATTCATTTGGAAGACAAAGCATTATGATCAATGTTCAAAAAATAATTCTCAAGTTAAACTTAGAAACATTAAAACAAGTCGAGTATTTCAAGTTTGCTTTCATTCACTTCATTACTAAAATTCAATTTTTTTGGAATTAAGTTACAAGTATGATAACACTGATTTTAAAGATGTGCCCAAACGTACATAAACATGTTCTGAATAAATGACATAAGTTCATGATTCTGCTGTACATACCTTCTACTTGAATATCCTTGATTGTGATTGTCGATTAACAAAGCTGTAATTACACGGAACACTTAAATATAATTAAATACGCACTGAGAAAAAAACGCAATAGAAACAAGTGCGGAACTTACCATGCTTACACGACTGGCACTGGATGCAAACAAAGTATTTTCTCCAATTTTAACTATCAAGTTATCCACCATGATGTGCAAGACAAACTGCAGCCTTATACCATAGAGGTAACTCTAAGACCACTGGGTCCCGAAGAAAATCATTATTATTTTTGGCTCACTCAGTACCAGAACAACGGTCCCAAGCAGTCCCAAGCTATTTCACTCACCCCTGCATGTTCTGCATGAATCCACACACCCCTGATGTTATCTGTCAAACTTTCATAGCGAATCAAAACAAACATAGTGTAGTAATATAATTTCAACTAGAATAGGGTACGTTAATCGTTTGCTTGGGACCAATAGGCTACTAAAGTGGTGAGCCAATTTAAAATCGTTAGTTTCGTATTGATTGTTGCTTATACACTGGAACCTCTTCTTCTTCTTCTTCTTCTTCTTCTTCTTCTTCTTCTTCTTCTTTCCTTTATTTAACGTCGGTCTCTGTTCCACAATCTAGTGCCAATCACCGACGGACATCGATTGCCATTCATTGACGGCAATCGAATGTGCAGGAAGGCAGCTTCCACACCTGCGTAGTATATTGCACCCATTGAAACACACATGGGCCGGGACCAACGGCTTTACTTCCCTTCCGAAGAAAGACGTGACCAGAGATTTTTATGCCTCAGAAAAATCCCACCGACCTCGGCTGGGATTGAACCCAGACCCATTGGGGTGTTAGAAAGCAGTCACGCTTACCACTACACCCCCGGCGCCGGCCACTGGAACCTCCATTTACGAACCAAACTAGGGCTCGTAAATCGAATCAGTGCGTTTTTGGAATCGGGGTATTATCAACAATCAATACGAAACTAACGATTTTAAATTGGCTCACTACTTGACTAGCCTATTGGTCCCAAGCAAACGATTAACGTATCCCATTCTAGTCGAAATTCTAGTACTACGCAATGTTTGTTTTGATTCGCTATGAAAGTTTGACAGATGAAATGAGGGGTTATTCGTCTTTCCTATGTTTCGAGGGGTGAATCG